AAATACAACAAGTAAGTGTCTGAACCATAAGAGTTTTAGCAAAGAAATAACAAATCCAGCTTGAGTAAATGTAATTATATGTAAAAAGACAGTGTTTTACCATGTTTTGTTTTGCACATTCAACTACGACAGTTCCTACACCTTCAACTTTTGTCAGCAGTAGGTATTTAGAAATAACCAATAGGATAACTGCTTCCTGGTTGACATTTACTGAAATACTTCTACAATATTCTTAATATTTAATCTTATGAATCATCCTTCAGATTCAACAACAGTCGTCAACACAACACCTACAACAAATACAACGAGTAAGTGTCTGAAAAATAATAGTTTTAGCAAAGAAATAACAAATCCAGCTCGAGTAAATGTAATTATATGTAAAAAGACAGTGTTTTACCATGTTTTGTTTTGCACATTCAACTACGACAGTTCCTACATCTTCAACTTTTGTTACCAGTAGGTATTTAGAAATAACCCATAGGAAAACCGCTTCCCGGTTGACATTTACTGAAATACTTCATGTAGTATTTGTTGGACTGGTTATGACCTTTTTAGCAACTTGTTTTTGAGTTCATGTATTCAGAATTTAATTTGCTGCATTTTGCCAAAACAACACATGTAACGCGTCATCCACGGTTACCTTTACTCTAGCTCCAAACACAAGTACCGAGGCCACACCCACAACCATCACTACTCCACCAGTGGTTGCTACCACCACCAACACCCTGATAGGTATCGTTACAGGTTTTGCTTCAATGCAGTAAAAAATGCTGCTATGTATCCGTTTATGATCACCAAATGTAACTTGTATCATTAAGTACATTGCTTTGATCAGATGCCTAAACACCCTTATTCCAATGTCATATTTGATGGCCATTCAATTTAATTTGGCATTTAAGTACTGTTCAAGCATTGCATATATTTTGCATAGTTTAAATAGAAAGCTCTAATTTCGCCACACACTTCGTGTGCCATATTTAACATGTGTTAAGTCAACTTGTGTGTACTAAGTGTACTAACTTGTGTGTTAACAAAGCAAATAGCAAATAGCATTAAATACAGATTGATTATTTGCTTACACATTTAAATTCTGACAGTTACGTTACAACTTTAATTGTGAATGAAGTTCACGATTTTAAGTAGCTATTAGCTCTTTAGAGAGAAACGGTTATACCATTGGTCCTCCCTTTTATTCAAATAGATTTGAAAGTGAGTCATGGTTTCCTGTCTACCTATAATTTGGGGTTTTATCGCATGTAAAATTCTCTCTCTGGAGGGCGGCACGGTGGCGTGGTGGTTAGCACTGTTGCCTCACAGCAAGAAGGTCCTGGGTTCGATTCCGCGCACTGGCCTTTCTGTGTGGAGTCTGCATGTTCTCCCCGTGTCTGCGTGGGTTCTCTCCAGGTTCTCCGGCTTCCTCCCACAGTCCAAAGACATGCTCTGGGGATCAGGTCAATTGGGGACTTTAAATTGCCCGTAGATGTGTGAATGTGAGTGTGAATGGTTGTCTGTCTCTGTGTGGCCCTGCGATTGGCTGGCGACCAATCCAGGATGTACCCTGTCTATCGCCCGAAGTTGGCTGGGATGGACTCCAGCCCCCCCGCGACCCTGTGTGCAGGATAAGCGGTTTGACGATGGATGGATGGAAGGCCCAGCGCCAGAACAAGACCAGAATAAGTCAGAATATATAGTCCATTCTAAAAATTCCAAGGTGAAGTCACAAAATGACAATATTATAAATAATATTTGATTGAATAGACCCTAAAGTTAGCTATGAAGGGAATACCTCTAGAGGTCTGCGACTTCCGAAAATCGTCCCACAGAGATACTGTTCTTAAAGCCCTCCTAAGTTTTACACGTCCTCTGTCCTTGCATCCATATGTAAGGACCATCCAGCTCAGGGATTGGCTGAGACCACGACTGTATCCACCATACCTCAAAAAAACCACACCCCCTCACTGATGTCTTACCTTACAGCCTTGATTATCTTACATGGCGTTCAAGCAGTCAGCTTGCTGTGCTCTCAAATGTTTCTTTTACTCTTCAGTCTTCACAATATATAATTTTTCCCAATCACAACAAAATGTATTCATTTTCTGTTCTTAGCTTTGCTCATATATTTCATTTCTTTTAAACAAACAGGACTCAATGTGGAAATGTCTGTCGAATTAGACAGGACATTCAACAGCAATTTAAGCAATCCATTAAGTGATGAATACAAGACACTTGAGTCAAGTATTAATAAAGTGGTAAGTGCATTGATCACACCGCATTAAATTGATTCTTGTTTTATCAGTTCTTTACGTTCCAATATTGATATTACCAACCACATTTCTCCCCCAGTTAGTTAGCCAGTATAGCAGTATCACAGGGTTTATTAAAGTTTCTGTGACCGGCTTCAGGTAATGGCAATTCTGCTGTCAAAAACATTTTTAGGTTGATGTTTTACACCACGACCTTGACTTGTCTTTGTTCATACAGAGAAGGGAGCGTAATTACAGAGTTTACTGTTCAGACATCAAACATCAATCTGGATGAAGTGGCAACAGCAAATAAAAACCTCATCACTGCAATAACGCCTATTGCTCCTGTGATTGGCTCAGTTACTGCATTGATTAACAGTAAGTTTTAAAACAAAAGTAAGTACATTTTTATTCACCTTGATTGAATTACAATGTGATATATATATATGTGTATATATTTTTTTTTCCAAAGGTAAAACCCCCACAAAGACCATAAAACCATTTCCTATTTTCACCGGTCAAACCATGGTGCTGATGTGTGAGGTTTCTCCGGAGCTGAATATAGGAGCCATTTCTGGCTCTAAATGGAAATTCAATGGAAAGGAAATTAATACCAATCAAGTATTGCTCTCTGGCTCAACCTCAACCCTTACAGTTAACAATGTCGCCCTTCTTGATATTGGTAAGTCTCAGCTTGCTGAAGTTGTTAACTAATAACAAATCAATTACCATGAAATCACTTTGCAATTTGTATAAAGCATAAAGTAATGTATGTTTAGTGATGATTGTCAGTTGGCACTCTTGCTGGTAACATCACAGTATGAATTTGTGTGAATGGGTGAATGATGACATTTAGTGTTAAAGCACCTTTTAGTGGTTGGAAGACTAGGAAATTGCTTTAGAAGAACTGTCCATTTACTATTTTACACTAATACTGTGCATGGGTTAAAGTTCTAAATTTATCAACATTGACAACAGTGTAATGGTCTATTTACTCTAAAACGTGAGCATGATTTACTAAATGATTATCAATGTCTAAGGAAATGCTTCAATAACACTACATTTACCATCAACACTAATTGGACATACTCTTGGGTGCTAGATTATCCTTTTCAATTAGGGTAGCTACAGTCATCTAGGAAAGTATTGTCAACGTGTCAGCGTCAAAATGTTTAGACTAAGATACATTTAAAACAGTTGACAGTTAACATTGTTTATTTATTTTACGCCAGAAAATGTAATCATTGACATTTGTTTCTCTTAATCACAGGACTTTACGAATGTACTCTGACGGGTGGAGTCATATCGTACAGTCAAAAAAGGGCTGTAACAAACGGCGAAATCAAAGAAACTCCCATCATACGACTGAAGAGAAGAGTCAATGTTAAATGTGGCGGGGGGGTACAGGTAATATCCATTGAGTGCTGTGTGCAGTCCCCCTATACCGTCAACTGGTTCAGGGGGTCAGAAGATTCGGCCCTTGGTAGGTACCTCAAATGATAATGAAAACTCATATATACACATACTGTACATACATATATATATATATATATATATATCTATATATATATATATATATATACACACATGTATAACTGTTCACAGTTTATCTCGTTAACACTGACAAACGTTCACAGTTTCCTCTGCCATTGGCGGCTGCATCAACTATGATCACCGCCTTGAGAGCTGCAGCGAGCGACCACTTTTCACCTGTAAAGTTCAGAATTTAGCATATGAAGATAAAACAGAGATTATCGTTTTCACACAGGGTAAGAGCAGCTCTCATGCTGCGTTCACACCAAAAGTGAAGCAAATTTTCGCAATGCTTTACTTGCTCGGGTTTACGCGCCCGACTACTTGGAGCTAATTTGTTTCATTCGCTCTTAAACATTACGCTTTTTAGTGTCCTTGGCATCAAATCTACTCGGGGAAATAATTTTCTTATTAATAGCTTTTGGTGTGAACGGAGAACTAAAAGACTTTCCTTGTTTTTTTCTATCTAATTGTGTGACATTAATTGATTATTTTACTCTTTAGAAGTTGCATGTAAGGATGGTCAGTACGGTGATGGACGAGACGGCGACGAATCAACCATAAAATGTGACGCAGGTCTAGAAGGGTTCAAGAAGGCGCGATGTGTGTCAAGAAAGTGGACCGTTTTCGAGGACACCTGCATCGTAACAAGAGTCAAGGAGTTGTTTTTTGCATCGGAGGTAGGGAATCATTTGTGCGACTTCACCAATACGTAGCTTCAACTTTTGATCTTTGTCAGATCACCATTATGTAATTGGTCAATCAGTACCTTGACATAGTTGAATTTTTGCTTAAATGACATTGAGGATTCACATTACATTATATTACACGTAATTTAGCTGGGGCTGTTATCCAAAGTGCCTTACAATTAGTCCATGTCATCCATAAGGATACAAACTTTAAAAGAACAAGAAACAAGAAAGTGCAATTTCATTAAATAAGCCGATCTACAACTTGCTATAGATAAGAGCCATCATAAGAATAATTTAAGTACTACAGTATGTTAGTGTTTCAGAGGAGGTAGAGTTTGAAGAGGTGTGTCTTTAGTCTGAAGATGTGAAGGCTCTCTGTGGTCCTGATGTCTTCAGAGACCTCCTTCCACCATTTAGGAGCAGGACAGCAAAGAGTGGAGATCTAGTCGAGTGTTTTGCTCTCAGTGAGGAGGAACAAGCAGTTTATCACATGCAGAGCGGAGAGTGCGGGTCGGGATGTCGGGTTGGACCAGGTCCTGGATGTAAGCTGGACCCCATCCATTCACAGCATGGTACGTGAGCACCAGTGTTTAGAACTGGATGAGCCACCGGTACCAGTGAAGAGAGTGGAGGAGTGTGGGAGAACTTAGGAAGGTTAAAGACCAGTCGAGCTGCTGCATTCTGGATGAGCTTCAGAGGTCAAATGGCGGGAGCAGGGAGACCTGCAGGAGAGAGTTACAGTAGTCCAGGTGGGAGATGACAAGTGATGACCTGCGCAGTACAGAACCCTGAGGAACTCCAGTAGTAAGAGGACATGGTTCCGACAGAGATCCTCTCCAGGTTACCCTGCTCTCTCAGAGACACCAAGTTCCTGAAGGGAGGAAATAAGGATCTGGTGGTTGACTGTGTCAAATGCAGCAGAGAGGTCCAGAAGGACGAGGACAGAGGAGAGAGAGGAGCTCTAGCAGTGTGGAGTTGCTCTGAGACAGCAAGGAGAGCAGTCTCTGTGGAACGGCCTTGAAGCCTGACTGGTGGGGGTCAAGGAGGTTGTAACGGTGGAGATAGGAGGGGAGTTGGTTAAAGATCACACGTTTAAGAGTTTTGGACAAAAAATAAAAGATTTCACATGTAAGAGTAAGACAACTGGTAACTGATGTTTCTATTATTATAAATTGTTTCTGTGATGGGAGGTCTGTCTCATATACTGTGGTGAAGGTATTATCAGCGTCAGACTTGCAGTTGACGATGCCCTGACCAAATAGTAGAGACAATATTAATCTAAAGCTACTACGAGGAAATTAATTTTGTGTTGAGTCCAGAACCGGAACCTGAGTCTATCCCCATGTCTCTCTTCCTCCCAGTTAAACGTTCATTTATAGGATTATTTTACTTACTGAGAGAGGTGTCAAGTACCGAAGTATACTTATGTACTATACATTACTGGAGTATTTATTTTTCAGACGAATGTAATGGTTCTGTGAGCGAGGTTACACATTAAGAGTTTGTCCCTTACATTATCTTACATTAATTTTACTTTTAAACTTTTAAGTAGTTTTTAAACCAGTACTTTTATACTTTTACTTAAGTAAATAGCTTGAGTTGATACTAGTGTTTAAAAAGACTTCTGTAGAAGCTGAAGTATCTATACTTCTACTTGAGTAATGAATGTGAATACTTTTTACACCTCTGCTTCAGTACCTTCAGTAATTTGGATGAAGAAATAAGGTGTCAGATGCAGCAGGCTACAGGTGCAGCTACAGCAGCTGGCTATGGCTAAATTTAAAAATTTTAGGCATCTGATGGCAGATACCTAATATTAAAGGACGGATTGATATCAGGTCCAAAAGAACCGAGACATCCTTAATAGCAGCTCATTCTTTTAGCCTGCCCTACAATCTGGCAGTTTCTAGTGGCCTGAAGAAAAACATCTCTGCATCTGTCATGAATGATTTTGATTTTGTTTTTAATGTTTCATTCTTTTAGCGTTTGAATGAAGAAACAGTGGCAGAATTTGCGACAAATCTAAGCACAGCTGTAGGAAAAGAAAAAACTACAATTTTGAGGTCACCTGCAACCATATCCGCTACGGTTGACGTCGTAAAGAACATTGCAGCCCATATTGGCGAGGTGGTCAGTGAAGACTTCATGAGGGTAGGTCAAACCTCTGTAGCCCCTTAATATGAGTTATGTGTGTACTTTTTTTATGATGTATCCCCATCAAAATGAAATCTCTCTTTACCTGCAGGATGTACTTGAAACAGTTGATGTCATTATCGGTGATGGTTCAAGAGAGTCTTGGACAACTCTGAATGGCAATGAAACCAGAAATGCAAGCTCAAGTTTACTGGGCTCAATGGAGTTGCTCGCTGGTGGATTGGTCGGGGAGGTGGCCTTGGCGACTCAACAGATACTGTTAAACAGAACATCATTCGACAACTCCTTTAGTGCAGATCTGAATCCCAGCATCTTTATAGAAATACCAGACATCAACCTTCGTAACGTCTTTATAACCACCATCACCTTTCTTACACTTAACAATGTTATGCCGGTGCGGAACTCCAGGAGCGTCTTGGACACCACCGGCAATGAGAGCAGAGTTGTGGACATTGCCGTCAACGCTGCTGTTGTGCTAGTTCAAATAAATGAAACAAATCAAAATGTTACTCTGAGCTACAGCAAGCTGAACAAGTCGCTGTCACAAGGCCCGCAGTGCGTCTTTTGGAACTTTAAACTTTTTAATAATCGTGGCGCTTGGGACAGTGAGGGCTGTAAATTTGTTTCCGACATAAACAACACGGTAACCTGTAACTGCAGCCATCTCACCTCCTTCTCAATTCTGATGTCAACCAACATCCCTTCAGGGATAGGATTTGCCTTGGATGTAATCACCTATGTTGGTGTTGGGATATCTATGGCAAGCCTAGTTATATGTCTAATAATTGAAGGATACATTTGGAAAGCCATGACCAGAAATAGCACTTCCTTCATGCGTCATGTTTCCATCGTTAACAGTGCCGTGTCTCTGTTGATTGCAAACATCTGTTTCATCATCGGAGCCTCTATTGCAGATAATCCCCTCGAAAACCCTGAGAGTGATCATTTGGTACCAGTTGGTCCATGCAGCACAGCAACATTTTTCATGCACTTTTTCTACCTTGCCCTGTTCTTTTGGATGCTGGTGTCAGGCCTACTGCTCTTCTACCGGACGGTCATGGTCTTCTCCCACATGTCCAAGTCAATCATGTTGGGGATTGGCTTCGTATTAGGCTATGGGTGCCCCCTGATTATAGCTGTTATTACTGTTGCTGTCACAGCACCAGTAAATGGATACATCAGGAAAGACAATGCCTGTTGGCTCAACTGGTTTGACACACATGCCCTGCTGGCGTTGGTGATACCTGCCTTGACCATAGTTTCCATCAATCTTTTAATAGTGTTCGTGGTCGTGGTCAAAATGCTAAGAAGAGGTGTGGGAGACGCTGCCCAAGCAGATGAGAGGCACACAGTGGTGGTCATTCTAAGGTGTGTGGTCATTTTGACTCCTTTATTCGGACTGACCTGGGCTTTAGGAGTCGGAACCATGATAGACTCAACAAATAAGGGAATCCACATTGCCTTTGCCTTCTTCAATTCCCTACAGGTATTTGCCACAGTTGTAATTAAATAATTACGTAGCAGTATTTTCGTGTAATAAAAGATTGTGTTCCATATTTTAGTTTCTAAAGAAATGTGCATGCCATCCGTGTTTCCTCAGGGTTTCTTCATTTTAGTGTTCGGGACCCTATTCGATTCAAGGGTATGTTGGCTTTCAAAAAAATCATTTTACATGCTAGGATACGCACTTATTTGCTTTAAGACATAGATGGCATTCGGCTATAGGTACTAGTTAATAGTTGTGTTTGTACTAGCTTAGCAATAAATAGCAGGAACCCCTAAACCCATTGATGACAACAAGTATTACTGTATTACTGAAATTTGACATGATTTTGATTGTGCCCGTAGATCCGTTCTATTCTGTTGAAGAAATCACCCGCATCAAGCAAAGGCTCAAATCATACATCAAGGGTAAGTATTTTTCAGATCCCAAACTGTTACATAACATCTTTTAAATGACGGCGGTTTCCTTTGTTCCCCATGAATCTTGCTTGTACTTTCATCTACACTGATCAAGTCTCTTATGCAATCACTCAATTTTACATCTTTTCATTTTTTCTACCATAGACTACAAGTGGTGGTCTTTCCTCTCGCAGTGGACTAAACTGGATAAATCGACTGCGCAGAAAAAGTAGTTCTTTTAAATGCAGTCATTGTTTTACCTCTGTTTGAATTGGCTGTTAACAATTGTTTTTTCATCTTTTAGATATCTACCATGTGTCAGAAGCAGCAACCTCAACCGACACCGGTGCATCAGAGTCATTTATGAATACTTGAGTCAACGCACTCAAACTGTTAATGAAAAGGCTTAGAAAAGCAAGCATGACTTAGTGAACATAAAGTTTTGAGCTATTTAATTAACACATACCTTGTTTTGCTAATTTTCTACCCAGCACATTTCTGAGAGTTAAATTGACTCTGAGATTCAATTTTAACTCTAAGCTGGTGTTTTTATTCTCCCAATCTTGTCAGTGTTAAATCAACAAGTCAACGTAGTATTAATTTCACTCTGAGTAAGTGTCAAAAATAAATCGCTCAGTGTTCAATACACATATACATATCTTTGTCCTACCTTCCCCCATGGTCATGAAGGGATGGGGTCATGACCAAAAGAACTAGGTCACGGGGTACAAGCGGCCAAAGGTGAGGTTTCCTCAGGAGAGTGGCTTGGCGTCTCCCTTAGAGAAAGCTCAGCCCATTCGTGAGGAGCTTGGAGTAGAGCCGCTTCCTTTGCGTCGAAAGAGAGCCAGTTGAGGTGGTTTGGGGCATCTGGTGAGGGATGCCCCCCTGGGCGCCTCCCTAAGGGGGGGTTTCCCGCACACACCCCCTGTGAAAGAGCCCCGGGGAAGACCCAGGACTCGGTGCTCTCCACAGAGTCCTGGGTCTTCCCCGGGGCCTCTTCCCACTGGCCTGGCCTGGGAACGCCTTGGATCCCCCAGTCAGAGCTGGTAGATGTGGGAAAGGGAAGTTTGGGGTCCCCTGCTGGAGCTGTTGCCCCCGCGACCCGACCCCGGATAAGCGGTTGAAAATGGATAGATGGATGGAGTGTTAAATACACAGTACGGAGAGTTAAACAGGACATACTTGGACGTCCTCTCAGCAAATTACATTAAGTCAAATGACTAAATTCAAGATGAAATCTTGTAATGAAGTCACGGTCTGCAGGCTTTGTGCTAACATACGTATATGTTTTGCACTATTTTAGTAGTGGTACAGTTTGATAATGCATGTTAGCTCAACAGAAGGCAAAGTGAACTAGCATACATTTGATCATTCTATTATCTCCCTACATAACATTGAGAAGATCTGTTATTTAGTGAAATCTCCATAAATGCTTTTCAAGTTGAACTTTGTTGTTCAGCAATGTGTAGGGTACACAGAGTTGTGAAGAGTTGATTTTTTTAAATAAAACACTTAACAAGACTGAGGAGTATTGCTTTCACCATGTCACTGTCAATATTCCATCCATCATATGATATAAGTGAGCACACTAGACATCACAAGAGTTAAGTAAAGATGAATTAGGATTCTATGTTGATGATGTCAACCAGAGTAAACGTAAAAATCCCTTATTGCTTACTGGATTTTGCTTTTTGGCCTTTTTTTTCCATTTTGTCCTTTCCAGGTGATGCTCCTCCCAACATCCCCACTGAAAATGCTCCATATAACGCCGATGGTCGCCAGGGTGGAAATCTAAAATGGATTATAAAAGTTATATTATATCTGATACTCAACAGAAACGTTTAAAAAAACAACAACCATTAAACAGCATATTATTTAGTGTTGCTGGGTGACGTACTGGCTTTTAGAAGCTGTTCCTCCTGCTGGTCTTCCACTGTTCAGCTGTGGAAGTGATGGAGTACGTGGGAGAGGTGGAGGAGGGGTAACTGTGCCGCTCGTGGTCAGACCTCTGGCAGGTGGAGGGCGAAGAGCTGGGGGGGGGGGGGGGGGGGGGCTGCGTTACTAGTGGTTGGACATCTGACTCTTTCTTTAAAAGGATCTCTCTTCTAACTGTCGTCATCAGAGTACGGGGGGTTATAAGAATAGGTCATTTTTCATAATGTAACACGAAGAAAATAAACATATATGCATTTACATTACATGTCATTTAGCTGCCGTTTTTGTCCAAAGCGACACACAATAAGTACATTCAACCATAGGGTACAAACTCACCAGAGCAAGAAACAAAGTGCAATTTCATCAAATAAGGCAATTTGCTGTAGATAAGAGCCATTATAAGTCCAATGTAAGTGCTACAGTTAGTTAGTGTGTTAGTGGAGGTAGAGTCTGAAGAGGTGTGTCTTTAGTCTGAAGATGTGAAGGCTCTCTGTGGTCCTGATGTCTTCAGAGACCTCCTTCCACCATTTAGGAGCAGGACAGCAAAGAGTGGAGATCTAGTGGAGTGTTTTGCTCTCAGTGAGGAGGAACAAGCAGTTTATCACATGCAGAGCGGAGAGGTCAGAGGTCGGGGTGTCGGGTTGGACCAGGTCCTGGATGGAAGCTGGACCCCATCCATTCACAGCGTGGTACCTGAGCACCATGTTTAGAACTGGATGAGCCACCGGTACCAGTGAAGAGAGCGGAGGAGTGTGGGAGAACTTAGGAAGGTTAAAGACCAGTGGAGCTGCTGCATTCTGGAGCTGCAGAGGTGGAATGGAGGTAGCAGGAGACCTGCAGGAGAGAGTTACAGTAGTCCCGGAGGGAGACGACAAGAGCCTGAATCAGTACCTGCGCTGCCTTCTGAGTGAGAAGAGGACGTGTTCTCCTGATGTTGTAGAGTTGTAGAGTGTGTCTCTACAGGATCGTGTTGTCGCTGTAATGTTGGGAGTCAGGGAGAGTTGATTGTCAAGTGTCATACCGCCATTGATTTCTCTTTATTGGAATTGCCTCTTCCTACTGTTGATCCATGTGTTGCAAAACATACTGTACTGTATAATTTCTCATGCTTTGCTCCAAGCAACAAAATAAAAACGAAAGTGCAGAATTATGAATTATGAAAATGTTTTTCCCCTTAATTAAAAACACAAGGTAAATTATTTTGGATTTCCTTATAAGACTGCTTTATAAGACGAATTACATTTTTTTCCTCAGTTGCTGTGGTACTATTCTCGAATCATCCTCGTCATTTGCTAAACAGCACGTGCATTTCTCAAAACAATTTGAACAAATAGCTAAACACCATGGATTACTGCAGAAGCTAGTCTCCTGCTCAACATCCTTAGCTCATCTCTCAAAAGTAAATATCTGTGTCAATGAACATGTCAGTGGCATCAGAAGGACAAGTCCTTGTGTCATTGTGTACGGACCAGAAAGTCAAATTGCTTAGTCGTGTTGTCAGTAACAGTGTACTCTAAAGGTTACTCTGAAAGTTTTCATGACAATTATACTAAATTGCAAGTTCAACCTTTGTGTATGTGGGACATTTATTGAAAGACACTCAACTGTAAGACACTTCACATTTACGCTTTCACTGTAATTTGTTGACAGACATGTCATTGCCACAAGACAGCAATGCACTGCAAAATCACAAAAGTAGAGATGTGAACATTAGACAATCTCCTTAGGGAAAGCTGCACATGCAGTGCTGTATGAATTACAGTGCAGTCATTTATACCTCCTGATGGTCTGTTGGGCCACACATTTTCATCTACATCACTACAAATGTCTTCTCTTGTGATGCAGCGCGGAAAGAATCTTTTAGTGTCTTATCCAGCCTCAGCAGGCATCTGCTGTGAAGTAATCATATGCTGATCCATGGCAGCCAGAGGGGTCATCTGTGTATGTGGTTGGTGTTCATACACTTTCCATCTCCATGCTGAGAAGAATTTGTGTTAAACCTAGTTTATGCTTCTGTGTTTTCAGAGCGACGCAATGAAACGCAGACGCAAGAGCCCCCTGCGTGTTTTTCACACCTCCTTGCGTGCGTCGACCCATTTTTCTAGGCTTGCGTCGAAAACTACGTCTGCCAAGATCGGCAGTATTAAAAGGCTGTGTTCAAGGGAGCTTGGATACAACAATAACAGCTCATCTATGCTGAGGCATTATAGAGCCCTGCATGTGAACAAGGAGACCAACCAAGATGGACCAAACTTTGGACGTTTGGAGAACCCCCTGGAGAATGTGCCCCAGCTTCATCTGGGCCCTGTGAAAGGGTTCTCTAAATCAGCCAGCACAATAACAATAATATTTTAATAGTATTAAATAGATTGTTTTAATACAAAATACCTTTGTCTATGTAGACGTCCTTCTTTCTGCTGTGAAGGTACTATTCTAGGAGGTTAAATACATTTTTATTCATATTTCAACCTTTACAAAACTAAAATTTCATTTAAATATGCAAAAGGTAGAATCACAGGAGTTTCGAGTTTGCAAAATTCCCCCAAAATACTTTCCCACAGAGGATCATTTTGAAAGCTGATCTGAACCAGCTGTAGAAGAAAGCATAAATAAATGGATTGAGCATTGAATTTGACAGTGTAAGCCAGTTAAGGGTTTCAATTACAGGAGTGGGTACAGAATTCTTACTAAAAGGATTAAATGGGACACAAAGAAAGTATGGAGCCCAACATAAGAGAAAAAATCCCAAAACAATAGCCAGAGTTTTAGTGGCCTTTCTCTCCCTCTTACTCACAGTTGTTCCAGACTTTTTGGTCAGACCGGTTGTGTTCTGAATACTGATTGCCTGTCTCTTTGCAACAAGGAAAATTTTCAGGTAGGTACTAAGGATTATAATGACTGGAATATAAAAAGAAAAAATACACGCCAGAGTGGTTGATATAAGAGCATCAGTTAAGCAACTTTCTTCACATTTTTCTTGATTAAAACTTGCAATTATAATGCAGATGCCAATTAGAAGAGGCACGGCCCAGCTCATCAGGATCATCATCCCAGTGACACGATCATTTACTTTACTTTTATAAGAGAGGGGCTGACATACAGCGTAGTATCTGTCAATAGAAATACAGCACAAGTGCAAAATAGAAGCCGTGCTCAGTGTAACATCGAAGCCTCCTCTCACTTTACAGAACAAACCCTCATGATGCCAACATGAGGTCACAGTGAAAACCATGCTGAAAGGAAAGACCACAACTCCGACAAGCAGATCAGCAACAGCCAGTGACAGAATGAGGAAGTTAGTAGCGACGTGAAGCTGTTTGAAGTAAGAAACTGAGATTATTACGAGAAGGTTTCCGCATATTGTGACAACAGATAATCCGCCAAGGAAAACATATAATGAAACACATGATATGGAGAAGTTGCTGGTAAATGAGTACGTTCCATTATCTGATTCGTAGCAGGGATGTAAGTTACTAACAGCATTAAACCCATTGTCAGTCTCTTCTGGTTCCATGCTGCTACATATATTCCTGAAATTCAAATGTACAATATTACCCAACAGACGTTTCTTTCAAATACTTGGATATTTACATTAGCAAACAGCAATTTTGCAATTTTTAAAGTTAAATAAGGTTAAATAAAGTCATTACACTTGTATTACATTCACAGTATCAAAACATACCACTCAAGATAGATGACACATCAGTGTGTGT